TACATGTGGGATATAACAAGAACTTGACAAGAGGCAGTAATAGTTTGAGGGGCTTAGACAAAGTCATAAACCATAACACTTGTTGCTGTTCTTTACGGAGTGTACAACCGCAGTAGTTTCAATTGCGTTCATAACATGGGCTGTGTCATTACCCTGATTATGGTATGGGAGGATTTACCGCCAGTGACAGTTGTTTGAGTTTTAAGCAGACAGTAGATGACTACAAGTATAACATATAATTCAGACTGAAGTGTTATTTTATATGTGATTGGTACAGCAATGTTATTGTACCATGTTTTGGATCCACACATAAATAGCCACTTTATGTTTTCTATAGAGCCAAGGGTACAGTATTTTCATGACGTAGTCCTATGTGTTGAAATTTGTGATCAAGCCAACGATTTAATAAAATGCTGAGGGTGGAATTTGGAGAATTTGTAAGTGAGGAAGAACAGTGCAAACAGGCCAAAATCACACGAGAGACTTAAATGAGGTCATATCTGAAACGTTAACCTGTTTCTTTCAGGGGCTTTTTGATCTACTGTGTGTTTACAGCATTTTTAATTATAACTAAATAAGTTTTCTATGGAAGGGTTTCATCAGCAAGACGTAACTATGTGTTTAGTGGCTAGAATGTCTTAATTCAATGATATAGAATTGTTACCCATGTATGTTGGAAAGCATAGAGGAACTCTTGTTGCTCTTGACGGATCTGTATCATTGGACACCTCTGTATCACTGAACAGATGTTTAATATCACTCATTCAGTGTCAGATGGAAACCACTCTCACATGTGATGATGGAGCGATTTACTGTCAAATTAAAATCACTGTCACATTGTGACTCTCCAAAACTCTGTAGCCCTTGTCCTTTCCCACACCCAGCTTTGCCAGCCTATCACTCCCAGCTCCATTGGATCCCCATTCCCCAGCGGATTGAATTCAAGATTTTTATTCTGACTTTTAATTATTTCAATGGTCTCACTCTGTGACCTCCTTAAATCCCACCAACCTAGCTGCTCCCTTTGCTCAGCAGGCACTGAATAGGCTTTTAGCCAATCTGCCAGCACTCTCTGAAACTGCATCCTGGAGTTTCTCATTCAAGAACCACCTCAAGATGTACTTCTTTAACCGTGCTTTCGGACATCTTTCCCCTCCCCACCCCCTTCGACTCCCACCCCCAGTTTATTGTTTAGCACCTTGGAACTTCCTCCTGATGTGAAAGGTACTATTTTAAATATATTATTTTATTACTTACTATCAGGTGATTCGATTCGTATTTAGTGGCTTTGTCTCGTGTTTCTTTGAAATGATGGCGATATCTGATTTGCAATATTCACAAACCAGTTTATTGCATTAAAGTTCAAAAATGGAATTCAGTTCTCTGACCGCTCTCTGCATTTTGGCAGCTTTCAGAAATTGTCATTAGCAAATTAGAAGTCACAATTATTAACACTTCCCACTCCTGTTCAATGTGTTACAGCACATCAGTGAAGTAGTCAGATTGCATGGGCAAACATTATCTCTCTTGAGACCAAATACCTAGTGATTGCAATAGTGATGTGGGGATTGTGGTGGTATTGTTTACAAGAGATCGTCTCTTGGCTAATGTCACTCAGGAGGTTCATTAATGGATTGGTGGACCAATTTTGTTGACTTCTCCCCTTATTTGATGGCAAGAGTTTATCAAGGAGATGGGATGTATAAACAGTTTGGTCTGCAGTACAATGTGGCAGCTTTCAAGGGGACCAAATATAGATCCGTAAAAATAATTTTACAAAATTATCACCTTTAAATACCTCCACTGTCTTGCCCCACCCTACCTCTGTGTCCTGAGTACTGACCCAAACACTCCCTTTGCTCAGCAGACACTGGCCTGCTTCATGTACCATGGCTTCCCATCCCATCATTAGCGGTTTGAAAGTGCAGTCATGGAGCAGGCTGGTATTCGCTGAGCTGAGTGAATGGCTGGAGTGGTAGGAGGTCCTAGAGGTAAGGAAGGGCGAGGCCATAGAGGGATTTGGACATGAGGCTTTTTAATTCAATCCACTGATGGATGGGGAGCCAGTGGAGCCGTATGAGGATGGGGTTGATAGGCTCACAGAGCCTGGTGTGGAGGATGAGCTGCAGATTTCTGTCTGATCTGCAGCTTGCGGATGGAAGAGTTGGTGGATGAAGTTCATCTTCAGGATTTATTGAACAATAAGCGCATTTGGGTAATGTGGCTTTTTAATAATGACGACAAATGAGTGTTGTTTCAATACAAGGCACTCACTTTTATTTGCAGGTTTCCATTAACATTAATAACAGGGCTGAAAATGTTCACAACGACATAGCAGAAAGGCATATTAGCCTCTGAACTAAAAGTTACTTAGCGCTCGCTCATTGACTCACTCAGTTCATTCCTCATCTTTAAAAAAATGTCAGCAAGAGGCATCATCACATTTTGCAAGTGACTGCACTGAAATGTTTGACGCCATTTGCAAAGTACATTTACAAAACTAGAAGTTGGAATGCACTTCAAAAGTAATAATTTCAATAATTTTTAATAATTGTATTCCATACTCTTAGATGGAGATTTTACTCCTTACAGATAATGCAGCAGAATGCTGCTTTGGCAAAGCATCACACTTCATCACTGCAGGATTTCATAACTCCAGAAAAATGTTTTTGTGTAGCTTACAAATTGAAAAGTTACTCTTTGAAAGTTCAATTTTTTGTTTTATTCATTTAATGGAAGTCAGGAAAAACTTTGATATATTAGGGTCTAAAACATGTCAATTTCAAGTAGGATTCTTTTAACAAAGGAAAACAGAAAAATCTTACACTGACTCGTGGGACCTCCCTCCGATGATAGGTACTTTTGGAGTGGAGTTCCCTGTCAGGTAGCGTGACCTACTTCGATTTCATGGGAGGAAACCCCACTCAAATTTCTTAATCAACGAATTAGTGTATACTGGCTGTATATTTTGTGGGCGAACCTGACAAGTCAATTTGTGCACATAAATGTCCCACAACAGCTATGGAGTGTGTGATCTATTTTATTTGGGGATATTTGGCCAGGAGCAACACCCTTCGCTTTTTGATAGGTGTCATGGGATCTTTAACATCCATCTGGACAGGCAGACGGGACCTTAGTTTAATGTTTCTTCAAAAGGTCAGCACCTCTGACATGCCCAGGAAAAGTACTGGAGCGTCAGCATAGACTATATGGTTCCAGATCTCGAAGTGATTTCTGACTCCAATATGAGAGTACTACAAATAGAGCAAGACTGGCACTAATTAAGGAAGCCTGCTTGAAATCATCACATTTTAGAATCCATTGTTTGAGTGCTTAAACGGCTCACCAATTGTGTAATTTTTACCTTTCAGACACCCTAGCACAAATTTGCTTTAAGGGAATCCAACCAATTGAAGCAACTTTTCATGACAAATGAGACTGACTGTGAGTCAATGTTTTTTTAGAATCTCTCCTCTGTTCATTCCCCACCCCCACATCACCCAACAAAGTCAGCATTGTTTCCCTCACGTTCGACCTTCCTGCTTTCCTGTAAGGCAGTATCTTTTGCTGGGTGCCCTCTGGTACACTGCCCAAGGGACCGTTCTTCATGTGTGAGCCTTGGCAGTGTTGGCAGGTTGTCTGACCTTGTAGGATCCTGATCTGAGCCCGATTATTTGACATCCACCCACACGTGTACTTTAGAGAAGGGATCACAAAAAAGCCCTTGACAGATTTCCCCCCTCCCTAGACCTGAGGCACTGAGGACAATTGCAATGCCCCGACTGAGATCAGCTAAGCCAGCATAGCCAGGGATCAACCTTCTGGTATGTGTGGCTCAGTTTCAGATGGAGATGTTGTATTTATCAACTGAGCCAGAGGAGTAGCTCCAAAACATGTGGTTAATCCAGTGGAAGAGCTGGACATTTGCCAAAATAAACTCCCCTCAAGTTATCCTATAAAATATTTTGTTTTGCCCCCAAAATACAGCCAATTCTCTTTGGAGTACATTCAAAGCACTCTGAGACGTCTCAATGATGTGATAAGGAACTATATCAAATGCAAGGATTATTATTATCCAGCTGTGACATACAATCACAGTAAACTAACTGTGGTTGCAACATTAAGTTTGTTCATCCTCGCCTCAACAAAAGATGTCTTTATTACAATCTGAAAATTAATATAAATGAATGGATATGTATTCAGAAATTTTACCTATCATTAAAGTTTGTATTACCGTATATATATTTACCACAGTTACTGTATGGCATACAACTTACACAATGCAAAGAAACAAATGTAAGTAATCTGTTTATATCATATCATGTTAGCATTTGTTACAACTCACGTATACATATTTTAATACAGTACTTTTTTTTACTTTCAATTGTACCTTAAATCCATGTGACTGATCTGCAGGATGATGCTTTGAAAAGAGGTTATTTGCAATGTTAATTCTTAACACGTAATACTGTACTTAGGAAAGGTCAAAACACTACATTACATACATAACAGAGTGTGATCCTGAACCGAAAAGGCAGTAACAATCAGAGACAGAAATCCAATCTACACAACGTGAGTAATATATCTTTGGAAAATGACAACCACATGCTGTGATAAGGCTGCAAAGTAAACTCAGCACATTGTCAATGACTGATAATGAAGAAACACAGGACAGACGCACATTGAGCGAGTGAGCTATCTATGCTTTTTAAATGTCTGAGGTTAGCACACAAACATTTTTTTATATTCAGGGCTATGATTTAAGAAAGATCCTAACATTTGTACATTTCTCTAATTCTACTTTTGTTTAGTAAAAGATTTACAGGAAACTGTTTTTGTGGTTGATATAGGATAGTAAAGGTTATTTACTTTGAAAGCATTTTGGGACAATGAAGAATTACCATGGAAGTCAATGGATCATAAGATTGGTTTGCCCATCGTCCCATTTGATCTCATCCTTCCACAACACCTGACTTACATTTTTCCCATCACAGCATCAAGCTGTTTTTTTTAAATGGTCATGGTTTCAACCACCCTTCTTGGCAAATCCCAGATAAAACTATAGGGTCTAGTGCAAAGAGTAAATTATTACAATGCACTAACATTGGGGTATATTTGTATTTAAACAATTATTTTAGCAGAATAGAAATAGGAGGCCATTTAGCCTTTTGCAGCCTGTTCTGACATTTTATTATGACAGTACTTGTAGTCCCATTCTCCTACCTTTTATCCACATCCCTTTATACTTTACTTCCCAAATAATTTTGTCTCCCTTATAAACTTCTCAATCAACTTTGTAGGAATGTCGAGAACCCAATCTTGGAAATGACTGGGTCCAATAATTGTCAAATCTAAATCTAACGTTAGCTGCTAATGATTCAATCTCAGCTAGTTGCTTTTCATCCCGTGAAATGTTCAAAGATCATGGCAGTCATCTGCAGTGGGATTGCTACAAGTGTTAAGTAACCTCCATCAAATTGGCACCACACTTGCATACTTGGAATGACTTCCCTTCTGCTGATTACAGTATTTCTTTGGTGCAGAGGATTTAGTGAACTCCCACATTCCACAAGTGATTTAGAACTGGATGTTAGGCTACAGAACTAAACAAATAAAACTACAGTTTTACTGGAGAGGTTGCTCTCTGTTTTACAAGTTTGATTGTTTGCAGCAAAATATGTTGACATCACAGTGAAGAAGTGTGGCTTAGAAGGTTTAGCTTTGGTAAGACTGCATATACAGGGATGGAGATACGGAGCACTAGCATTGCGCATTATATATATATTTTAACATAGACCATTTTATTATCAAAGACATTTTTGGTTAAAATAACTGAGTTGTTATAAAATAGTAAATGCTAGGTTTCCAGTAGGTTTAAAAACAGGTTTTCTCATAAGAAAACTTGAGTCCTGTCAACGGAAGTATTTAAATGAATCAGGTGATGCATAATTTAAACTTGCTTAAATCGCACAGTTCCTTTTTGCTGAATGATAGATCAGTAAGGCAATCACTCAACAGTTTGAGTTGCAGTGGGAGGGAGGGTTTAGGTGAGGAGTTGACGGATCTCTTTGTGGACATAACAGAGAAAATCGACGTAGGAAGCTCCTCCATACAGCCCTTTGTCTTCCACCAGGAACTGCCTGAAGATCATATCTGGTTTATCTTTTTGCTTTACTATCACCAGCTGTAGATAAAAGGAATGGACAATCAGACTTTCTGATAGAATCCATGCTCGGTTTGGTTACAATCTGAAGAACGTTTCATTTAAGACAGAAATAACTCAAAACTATTAAAATATGTTGCAAGGTTTTGAAATATTTAAAGCTTGAGACAGACATCGCTGTGATTAATGTGGAACAACATTGCCAAATGCTGAATATTTATGGCTCAAGTCAAAAAATATTAAAATCAAAAGATTTTAAAAATATCAGCAAAACAGGAATGACTTTCACCGAGTTTTTCCGAATAAACACCAATGGATATTTCAATGTGCAATGGGGATGATTCTATTCTAATGCTGTCACATATGTACAAGTATTCTCTTTCATTTTCCCCTCCTGTCCAGCTATTTTCTCACTCTTTTCGAGTCTCGTTGAGTTGCATACCAACTGAGGCCAAAGGGCAGGCAGGAGCTAAGGGAGGAGGACAGCAAATGGATAATTTTTTGACAAAAGAAACAAGGGGGATTAGAGATGGGAGTATCGTGTTATTTCTGAATTTGGGGACTGGCCAGATGGACTGCAATTGTCTTTTTCACTCCTGTATATTCTCGTATTTCAAAATATACATTATTATTCTTCGCACAAAAGCAATTCCAGCTGCACCTTCCGTACCATATCAGTTTTCCTTGTTGCAAAGGTTGTATTTCCCATCAGACAAAATATGAATTAGTGACAGTGCCCTTCGCTTGATCGCTTTGAAGCTTCCCATTTTTAACGCAAGATATAATGGGCTTTAAATATTTAACTTGGCTCTGAAACTATTATAAAGGATCCCATTTGTGATTGGTATACTACATAGGACCTTACAGCATGCAAACAGGTCACTTTGGCCCAACTTGTCCTTGTCGGTTTTATACTCCACAGCAGTCAAACCTCCTAATTTCCTCTCCTATATTCTCTTCTCTCTCACGAATACATTAAATTTCTTCTTCATTATCTTGATGTTCTCTGCTTCAATGAAAGCTTCCAGCAGTGAATTCTACTTTCTCACCATGCTCTTGAGATTAGTTGCCATATTTGCCTACATAAGAGTCACCAACTTGAAAAAAATTCACTGTGCGAAGGTCTTTGAGATGTTTCAATGTGATGTGATATATTATCAAATCCAAGGATTATATGTTATTGGTAACGTGTAAAAAAAACAACAAATGAAGTAATAAAACTCAGAACCGAGTGACTCACACGTGTGGTTCCCTAACACCCCACAATCTGATTAAGAATCAACTGTTCTGAAATCTTGGTCCTAGTGTTGATGGTGTAAAATAATGTAATTGTTTCTTGAAGAGACGATACACGAATTGATCCTTTAAACCTCTTTACTTACTTTCATAGAACGAGGACTCTGCCTCCTCAGGCTGTCAATGATCGACCTGAGCTTCTTTGAATATGGGCTTTTCACTTCAGGCAATAAAGTCTGTAATGAAAATAAAAGCTACTTCTTAGGCACAGACTGAAGCACTGAGTAGCATACCTAAAATGGGGAATGTTTGGTTCTTCCAAAGAGCCAGCACAGACATCTCAGGCCAAAAGGCCTTCTTCTGTGCTGTGCATTTTTGTGGTTCTATAGTTCACTGAGATTGAAACTCAGATTGCAAAGGGCAGGGGGGGTTATATTACTTTCCACAACTTTAACAACAACAAAATGACATTTGTAAAGCGCCTTTCATGTCGGGAGGACGTCCCAAGGCGCTGAAGTAAATAAAGAGTTAACCATGAATGTTAAAAACCTTTTGTAGGTGTTACTTACAATATCTGTGTTGATATGTGCGAAGGAGGGTACATTAAAAATGCTTTGTATTAATTCAGGCTGTGAACTCAGTCCCAGCCAGAGAAACATATTGATCCCATTTTCCAGCAGAAATATTCCTCCGTCAGATAAACGCTCTTCCGAGCAACGGACAGCAGAGGGAAAGTCTTCACTCTTCACATCCATGTTGTGCTGGCATTAAAGAAAGAAGAGTGCTTAAGCCGATATAGTTCACAGTATAGTTTCATCAATTATACATTCTTACATCAGAATGCTAACTTGATCAGGGAACAGTTGACAAACATTCACAATTCTTAATTTCTTCTTTTGAACCATTAAGAGTTTTATTTTTGGCTGTAACTCAATTCACGGTTCGGGACTATTTGAAAAATAAAGCAGACTCCCAAGTTCTCATAGCTTATTCATTATTCATGAAAGAAACTCCAAAGCGTGTATATTTTGACAGGCTTTCTGCCTTACTTCAAATCCTCCCAGAATAAAAATATACTTAAGCAGATAAAGCTGTTAACTCTGCTCCTACCTTTGTATATGCTGCAAGGTAACAACATCAATTTGAAAGCTCAGTTGCCCAGAACTAAACTCAACCATATTGAGCCAGAAGGTTTAAATTACAATCCTATAATCGCAAGACGTCCAAATGTGCTTTGTGGGATTTTCTGCAAACTGTAGTAACTATGTATTTTGTAGGCAATCCCAGGAACCAATTTATGTGAAGCAATGTATCACAAATGGCCCCATGATTGAATAACCTGACAATGTACATGTTCCGTGCTGACATTAAATTCAAGCCTGTTTAAGTGCAGTCGGGTAAAACATTTAACTCTAATAGAAAGCCCATAAATAAAATGCTCCTTTTGTGTCAGACTGCCGTCAGATAGAGCCTAACTCTGAACAAAGGCATGAACTAAATAAGTTTTCTGCAAATTAATTTCTTTCCTCTTGAATAACTGTACTTACAATTGGTAACAGTTGTGGATAGAAAAATGATTGTGTGCTAGAAACATCCATAGAAGTGACCAATAGCCTTTGGAAACCTCGTTCATCTGTAGAAAGGTCAGGGCTCCCAAGCAGAACATAACTTTTCAGGAGACAGTTCATGTAGACTGGCAACAGCTTCATGGCCTCAGGAAGAATGAGCTAAGAGTCAAAAACAACAACATCCTTCAATAACAAAACTCTTCGGGACAATAGAGCAGATCTTGTTTTTATTTAATCTGCCACAAATTACTTGGCGATGCAAGACCAGAGATTCAACTACACATTTCAGACTTGAGAAACAGCTTTTTTTCATGTAAACCATTTCCGATGTTAAGTATTAGTTAGTATCTAGTACTCTGAAGTCTGTCCTGTCAAATACAGCATATGGCTTGAAAGCAGTCTGGGGATCTTCTGGGTGACAAGGACAGGAAATCAGAAAAGCGCCTTCATGTCTGGCTTTGCAGTTTAAGCTTCCAATCTATCTAACCAATACTGGAGATGATAAGATTATTGTAATGAAACTGAACAGAAACCAATATTTTAGCCTCAAGATATTTTAAACATGGATTTATTCTGAAAAGCTCAGGGTCACCCAGAGCACAACTTTGAAATCTTTACAACATACCAACTAGCATGTGTCATGTCTTTATTAGTCCTATATCAGCCAAATAAATGAGGTAGATAGCATTACATATACTCGCCCACAAATATACAGTCAATTCACTTTACAGTATAAAGAGGAGAGACTTCTGTGAAGCGCTTTGAGACATCTAGAAGACACGAAAAGCACTACATCAAATGCAAGGATTATTATTATTATTACATAGCTAACTAAACAGAGATATACTCAACTAACTGAAATTTACATTCAATATGAACAAAGTTCTGCAATCAGACTTTTTGTGTAAATTGTATGCAAAGCAATCTACTGTAATACAGCTTTACACTGAGAAAGAAAACTGCAGTGTAATTCAAATACAATCCACAGTTCAATTAAGATTTAATTACTTTGCACAAAGCCGTGCATATGTGGAATAGAAACCCAGAGAGGCAGTGGGGGCTGATTGAGACAGGAAATGCAAGAGGAAATTGGATAATATTTAGAAATAATTCCACTGAAGTACACAAATGGCAATTATCCTCTGGTTAAAGAAATACCTCCTGATGTCTGTCCTGATATTATCCTTTGCAACTCTATCTAAACCTGTGCTCTGAGAGACTATTCTTCATGAATGGTGCTATATAAATGGATGTTGTTGTCGTTTTTGCCTTAGCTTTACTTTCTCAATCTTATTGATGATGATAATAATAATAATCCTTGCATTTAATGTAGCACTTTATCATGTCATTGAAACATCTCAGAGCACTTCACAGAACATAGTGTAAAAGTGCAGTGATTGTGTACTTTGTTGGCAATCTCATTTAATGGTGCCAAAAAGTAGGTAGATTTCTGCAAAACATGACCTAATACCCTTCTGCTAGTTAAGTGGTGTTGTAGTACACCAAACAGTTGCATAGCCCTCAAAGTGTTATGAGATGCTGTGCCCGTGACTGAATCTGTACTTAACATTTACTGACAACTGTGACTGGATTCTACCCAGGTATGTGTAAGTAGGATCAATGAACCATCATAAGCATCAGCCAATTGTGCACAGCTATGTCCCACAAACACTCAACAAAGTGCTCAATAAAGATAACTGGTTGTTCAGGTGGACATTAAAGAACCCCTAAAAACAGAGAATGCTGTTTCCTGGCTAATGTTTCATCTAAAAATAATTTACTCTCATGACACTACATTTTAAAGTAGCTTGTAATGAGTGGCATTGATGTGATGTATTGCTATATCAAATAATAGGTAATTTACCCATCGTATTTGGAGATGAGTCAGCTGAAATCAATTTGATTTTAAATGATAGATCCACGGGATTGTTTAACACTGTAGGAGGCCATTTGATCCATTTTGTTGTGTCTGTGCTTGCTCCTCCAAGAAGCTATCATTCCTAATCCCATTTCCTGCTCTTTGCACATTTCCATTACCCTTCCCCTGCATGTGCTTGTATTTTTCCAACTCTCAGTAAAAAGAGAAAGCAATGGGTAGCTGAATATTATTTCTAGCAGTTCATATCGATTCTCACTTAATAAAAATGCAAGCTTAAAGTCAATATAAATTGATATTACAAGCAGCTGTTAGCAATGATTGCTTATAACTTTTAAATCCAGCAAATCTCAATATTCAAAAAATAAAGCTTCTGAAGTGAATGGATGATTTCTTACAGTATAATTTTAAACATTGCTTCACCTCCAATTGTTAGAACTAGATTCTGCAGTGAAATGAATCTCACCCGGTTTTGAGTTTGTACAGATGCATTTGATTTATTGGCCTGTACAGATGCTGAACACCAGGCTGATTTATAGAATTACCTCATCCATTCATTAAGATCAGTTACACTATACACCCCTTTCTAAAGCAAATATTCTGGGGCGATTCCAACAGCTATGAAGACATCATTTGTGTCCAGCAGATTTGCTTTTCAATTATTATGTTGAAAAGCTTTGTTCTCACAACGTTTTTGTAAAATCAGGAAGGAATTAGCTTCTGCATCCTAATTCTTAAACACAGTATAGGAGAAGTGATGGCCAAGGCAGGATCCATATTTGTTTTCCCATCTTTAAGAGGAAACTAGATAGACATTTAAAAAGGAATAATTAGCAGGAGTATGTGAAAAGGACAGGTAAATGGGACTGAATGGCTCACTCTTTCAAACAAACAGCCCAGACACAATGGGCCGAATGATCCTCCTCTGTATTGTGTTTCACCTCTGAATAGTGGGAATCCAAAAGACAGTTCCAACAGATTATGTCAACTCTTAACTAGTTTAAGTTTAGTCCTGTTTTCATCTGTTTGTACTCTACCATATTTTCCTGCTAAAGTCTAAGGTGTCGTTCTCTATGAAGTTCTCTATATTGACTTGTCTTTTGTAATCATTGCAAGAAGTTACGAATTCTGTGACCTTGTAATGATCAACACAGTTTAAGATTTCAACTCAACATCAGAATGTATTTAAACAAACACAAGGCAGGTTTAAAAACAATATTGTGTCAAATGTGTTGAACAGCAATAAATGGAAAGCAAAAAAGTTGAATCTATTTGTTGAGGTTACAATTTCATAGCTGTTTCTCATCTTCAGTTTTGCAGTTTGTTCTGAACTTTAATGCAACTAGACTTTGATGATGATTTCTTCTTTTAGAAATGTTATTATCCTGTACCCAGTATATTATTCAGTGTACAGCTGAGATTCACAGAGCTGGACAGAACACAAGCAACCCGAGTCTAAAGATGCCCAACTGATGTTGAATTCATTTAATCTATCTCACAGACTTAATTCATGTAATTTAAGCTCTACCTTTAATTGTCACTAGCTGTTTCTATGCTGCCCTGGTCTCTCTGTAAGTATTGTTCTGAGTTTATTTCCTCAATCCCATTTAAAATCTTATATACCTCTATAAGGTTCCCTCTGAGAAGCTTCTTTTCAAAGCTGAACAGATCTAGCTTACCTAATTGTGGTTCATAAATTGTTACTCTAACATTGGTGATTATTCTCGTTGTTCTCCACTACGCTGCCTCTCGGACTGTCATGCTATTTGATGGGCTTTTTCAACACCAGTGTTGCTGGACTGCAAGAAACTAGACTGGAAACTCAAAACAGTCATTGAATATTGGTCCCCATGTCAACCAAATAAAATTGAACATTGCACCTTCAATAAAACCACGATAAACTTTTACATCCACACCCAGGGCGCAAACGGAAGTCACTGGAGATTTGCCCGATAAGAACAGATTGAACAGATGGATCTGACTTCAGGTTAATCCCATTGAATAAATATTGCAACAGACATTCTATTTTATTAATTGGTTTACATCAATAGTCAGAGAAAAGTTTCACAACCAAACAATGGGCTCCACAATTTTAAATAAGTGAGTCATGGACATTATGGGCAATATTTTCTCAGTTGTATGAGCAGGTGTGCAAATACAGGCCAGCATGTGTGTGCAGATCTGTAAGATATTGTATCATTAATTATTGGGATTGTGGCCTCATAAAATCATTTACTAAATTGCAAAAATAGTACAGGATGGCCACTTTATTGGTACTAAAATTGTATGTACACTATATAGAAGCTTTCACTGGTACCTTGTTTGTAGGAGGATATTTTCAAAAACAACAGAGATTATCTAGTACAACAACTTGCATATAAATATATATATATTATATATATATAGTGCCCTTCACTTGCAATAGCTTCTCGGAGTGCTTAAGAATAGGAAGGAAAGGGGTGATTTGATGGTGTTGACCTTAGGAACTGTAATACTCATCCTGGGTTTAATGTCATTTTTGATGTCAAAAAATGGATCTCAAAAAGGGAAGCATCATCACATTTCAGAATGACATAATTGAAGCTCAAAGTAAGATGCATCCTGCTTAAATATGAAGTGCTGGTTTCTTCAAAGTAGGGTTTAGAAATACAATGTGCACCTTAAATAAGATGCTTGGTCCTATTGAAATTCAAACATGTTCTGACAATGACTACCTCAGGAGACTACTCAAATGTTTATAATCTGAGTACTAGTTCATGATTATACACCTTGATCTTTCCACGATGGAATAAATGAATAATATCTTTGTGAATCTTACAGAATATCTAGTGAAAAACACAACAGGTTTGATGGCTCAAATGGCCCCTGTTTCAGTGCTGCGACATTCTATAGTTCTACAATTCTATAACCAAAGAGAAGTAAATAAAGAACAAAGAAAGTTAAATATTTAGTGAAAAGCATTAAATGTTATGTTAATAACTGGCAAGATGCACAGAAACAAGATACTATAATCACATTCCAATTATTTGGATAGCAATGCTATATTGCACCCAATCGATCACAATAGATGTTAGGTTTCAGGTTGTGTATGATGTACTTACCTGGCCAACTGAGGAGGGGCTGGCACAATTTTTCCTGTAACAGGCCAACATGTGAGCAGTCTGGTTCACCAGTATCTCCCGCACAGTCTTCAGAGGTTGACTGAGAATCGCTCTGTATGCTGGTTCAAAAAAATAGCAACAACTTACTCACAACTGTTCTTAATAGATATTTAATTGTAAATCATACAAGGTATGTACAATTTCACTATCAATATAGAAATGTGGAGAAATGGTTTGCTGAGTGTTGTGAGTAATGTGATTATAACACGGAATCCCTTTAGTGACTGACAACACCAAAGGCATTGCACCTAACAACACTCACTGGAAGTTTTCACCACTGGAACACACATAACACATTAAAGTACTGACTTCATCTGGTCACTTTTGCCAAGTATAAGCAGCATTTAAGCAGCATACAGCATTTATACAGCAAACATTAAAGAAGGGTTCAAGGGAAGATTCAGAAAACAATTATTTGTGACTAAAAAATCATTTTGTGACAGCCATCTGCTTTTGAAAGGCAGGGCTCAGTGCAGCTGACACATGGATTCTGCACTTACTCTCAGAGAGCTAAAGGTGGTTGAAAATAAAGTGCAACGATTTGCATTGTCCTGACAGCAATCTTTTAGTTCCTGACTGCAGAAAAGAGTTGAACACTCGGTGCTAACGGAGTTTCATTGCAATTTATATTTCTTCCAGTTCAGCAACACTTTTATACTGTTTAAGCAAAATGAAATGGCATCTAGATTTAAAGGTGCTCGGTCCTCGAGCGTACACCTCAAAAGGGACACCTGCCACCCCTTCACACCGTTCCGCCCTTCAAAAAGGAGGTAAAGAAAAACAAGTTTGCTTTGAAATATACCTGTTGGAACATGCTTGATAAAGATGAAAGAAACTCCCATCAAAGTGACACACAATGTGTGATTGGAAAAAAATACAAAAAAGTGCCCACAATATAAACTTCTCTTACTTCAGAAATGCATGTAGATTTCCTCTGAGCTTGGAGCTCCTTGGAGCAGATGCCTCACATCCTAAAATGTAAGGAATCCTCTGGAGAAAACACAGCTGATATCAAAGGTCCTTTATTTGATGGTCCGAATGCACTCTGAGATGCTAACCCGTGTTAAGGGCGCTATATAAATGCTGTTGTTGAATGGATCAAATAATTTTTCAACCCAAATATCATTTGGTGGGAAATGACAGTGTTCCTTCAATGAGCACAATCTAAATATTACATTTTAATACAAGGCTAGTCTGTACTGCACAAGATGAAAAAACATTGATTTGAAGCCACTGAACAACCGCAACTAGTTCTGCTCTACATAGTCTCAAATCTAAAACAATCTGTATGGTATGAAAGACAGATAGCACTGATCTGTGATAAACTGCAAACAGAACTCCTCTCAGAATTCTACTATCAACAGTGCTGAGAGATACAGCAGTCAGACATTCAGAATTGCTTCCCACTGCAGTTATCTAAATGATAAGCATTGCTTCAATCCTAATCCTTTATGAATAATGAGAAACCCCAGTGCAATCGCCTTTATCCTTTGGGACATGGATTTGTATTCTTCATAATTTAATGGGATAAATGACTACTCTCTGTGGGGCTCAAATAAAATGAGTCAAGATATAATATTCTCAATTTAGATCTGCATCTTGAATCTGGTATTTTGGAAGCAAGTCTACAAAATAAATCTGTCCATAATTTCACAGAGAACTATAAAATTGGCTGATGGTACAATTACAGGAAAATGTCAAACTGTGGCAGTTTTCCTCAGAGTGGGAACTAAACCTGTTCCTTTGACACACTGCACCTACAACAACAACAATTTAACATTCATATAATGCCTTTCCTATCAGAGAACATCTCAAAACTGCTTCACAGAGCCCGCTGGGAGCCCGAGCTGAGGATGGAGGAAGCTGAGGAAGTAGGGGGGAAAAGTGACCAATAATGTGTTTAAAATGAAAGTACCTCAACGTATTCTACTAGACTGAGAGGGTATGACGGTGACATCGGGCTTATAACATGTGTGTGTTTCTCTGGAAGGAGGAAGGGGGAATGACCTACTATACTGATAAAATATAAAATATAAAAGATAAAACAATCTGTAAGCCCCCAGGCATGAAATTCCACCTTGTCTTAACCTGCAAAATGACACAGAGCAGTGAACATTTTTTAAAATTGGGTTTTAATTGGAGGTACCGCTGATAACTGGCTTCCAAATACAGGCATTGAACTTAAAATAATTTTTCACAATTCTGAAAGACCTTACACTTTAAACAAAAATCTGAGTAGGCAGAAATTCACCCCTCCCAATTTTTGAAAACTACATTGGTCCAAATAGATAATGAAGTTAACTGAGAAATTAAACTGAGTCATGTTAGTCGTAATAATATAATCCAGATAGTCTTTTGGCTTTTGATCCTATATTAATGTCAAATTGTTGCTGTAGGTACAGTGTGTCAAGGGAACGGGTTTAGTTCCCACTCTGAGGAAAACTGCCACAGTTTGACATTTTCCTGTAATTGCACCATCAGCCAATTTTATAGTTCGCTGTTCGCTTATGGACAGATTTATTTTGTCCTTTTAATCCTTATCAGATTAGATAGTTTTCTTTTAAGAAATACCATTATGGGATACAGAGGTAGTTCTGTAGCTCAGTGGTTAGAGCACTCGCTTTACAAGCGAGAGACCTGGATTCGATTCCCGGCAGGGTGAAACCTTTGGCAAATTTCCTTACTCCACACACCTGATAATAATCCCTCAGAAAAAACAATAATAAATTGGTCATTTCAATCCACGACTGTTTGTGTGACACTGCTGTGCGCAATTAGTTGCCACATTTCGCCCACAAAAATACAGTCAATTCACTTTACAGTATATTCTGTGAAGCGCTTTGAGACGTCTAGAAGACGTGAAAAGCGCTATATCAAATGCAAGGATTATTATTATTTATTAGTTTAGGACATATGTGCATGCGGCCACCAGGAAGGTGGAATGCGAACTAAATGGACCTTGGTCTTTTCTCGTTTAGCATTTCTTATGTTCTTATGTAGTGGAACATTGACCTTAGAATGTACGAATATATGTTTCTATCATTAATATTCAAATTTTCAAATATTATCACATGCAACATCCCATCAACACATTGCTTCCATTCACTTAAATATTCTGCCTGATGCCCCATTTAGGATTCAAGTTGGTGTACTTGACTGAAATACTCAGTTAAACATTTGTCAAGTTGCCTTCAGGTACAATGTTGTGCAAAAGATGGAAAATTATGAGTATAATCCCAAATACAGGATAAATTTGTCCTGAGGAATCAAGCCCATTTTTTTAATGCCATTTAATCTACATGGCAAAGAGAATCAAAGGTATTGTCGTATTATTGAAATGGTAAATTGATGCTTCTTCCTGTAATAAACAAGATTTTGTCTATGAAGAGAAAGCAAATTATGTCATTTACTGCAAGTCCAGCAATACAAGTCCAACAACAACAAAAACAACAACAAAAAGTCAGGCAATGCAGGCAAAGGACTCCTGTAGCGCAGTGGTTAGAGCACTCGCTTTGCAAGCGAGAGACCCGAGTTCAATTCCAGGCAGAGGGCGAAACCTTGGGCAAGTTTCCTTACTCCAGATGCCTAATAATAATCCCTCTAAAACCAAAAACAATAATAAATTGGTCATTTTCAATCTACGACTGTTTGTGGGACACTGCTGTGCGCAATTGGCTGCCGCGTTCGCCCACAAATATACAGTCAATTCACTTTACAGTGTGTTCTGTGAAGCGCTTTGGGACGTCCTCCCGACGTGAAAAGCGCTATATCAAATGCAAGGATTATTATTATTATTATTAAAGGTCAAACAATACAACATTCAGGAAGAGAATAGAGATGTAATGTGACATTTGCTGATAATCATTTATAATACCACAACTGCAGCTGTTACATTTGGAAAGAAAACAGGCCTAGACTAGTCTTCACCATATGGTCTCCAATATGACTTGAATTGTAGCTTTATGAATTGTTGGGTAATGAGTCATTTTGCTTAGACTTCACACTGTGATATAAAAGACCACTTTTCAGGTAGATTCGGCCAGTCAAGCTGATGAAAAGCTAAGATACAATTTTAATCGAGCAGCGGTTTAACATGCAGTTTAAACCTCAAAACATATTTTCACAAAAATAAACACTGAGCTCTTAACAATCCTTTGTACTGTCAGTTGAGGCACTTGGAAAGTGTTCCCAAGCTGATTATGCACTTCATGTATTTATAGAGGTAGAACAAAGCTTAGTCAGGCAGACACATTCCTCTGCTAATTGAACGAGTGCAGACTTCCCCCAAAATTTAGGCCGACTTTGATTTTATAATCTTACTGACATTTTGAACTGGAAAGGAGTGTATTGGTTTCAGTTTTTAAAAAATAGTGCAAACACGAATGTGTGCTTTTGAAGCAAGACTGTAACATTCCTTATATAGCATAGCCTGCTGATACACAGAACTGCAACGTTTGCTTGACTAATAAACAGACATTACGATAACTAACGCACTAAATTTTAATGTTTTACAATCCTGTTCTTTCTCAAAATAAAATACCCAATATATCAGCAGCTCCTGACATCAACTGAGTGTTCCGGCAATAAATTTGAGGGGCAGTTTGCTGATGCTGGTGAGTTTAAAACAAAACATTTTCTTTGATAAGCATGTGTGGCTGAGGAGAAAAATGAACTGGGTCATAGCCAGCAAGACAGGGGTAGCTTTAATACCATTCAGACAATAACAGCACCAGAGTACAAGTTGTGTACACTCTCCATCTGTCATGTGATGATACACTGGACAAGGAGGTAGAGCACCAATGGAATTTCCCAGGCAGGAATCCGCAAAACAAATCTGTCCTTAACTTGGCAGTTCTCAAATCTGAAATGTTTCGATTTTCAAAAGCAGAAAATTGGGTTTAGTGCATGCTTCTAATCTGCGGTCTGAGATTTTATTGTCCAGAGAATACAGGAGGTATCACGAGTATCTAGTATTACATAATTGTACCAGGCAGCTGATTATAAATTAGTCACATTTTGGAAACAGTGAATAATAATACTTGCTTTTGATGTAGTGCCTTATCACGTTGTTGAGAAGGTTTTGCCTCAGCTGGGAATTGAACCTGAGTCCTCTCGCTCGCAAAGTGAGTGCTCTAACCACTACACTACAGGATTCCACATAGATTTCTTATGCAAAGAAACCATCAACAAATCAAACAACCTTTTGTATCAACTACAAATATTCTTGCTACAATACTAGAACATTGGTATGACTAGGGGACCTGAGCTGATATCATAGATTGTCTGATATATTTTCTCAGGCTTCTTCCAACCTGCTTATCAGTCTATGGGAGAAAACACAATCTTGGCAGCTGACTGAGCAGCATCAATGACTGCATCCAAGAGGATGTTCAGATCATTCTGCTCAAGGACGAGAATGTGTGTGGGTGGTTACAATGGGTTAAGGGAGAAAGGATTTTGAAAGCAAAGGATGGAGGGAAAAATTCTGGATTTAAAATAATTCAGAGTAGAGGAATAAACACACGCCTTTCCATTTTAGAATTTACAACAACAACAAAATTACATTTGCATAGCGCCTTTCACCCCGGTTTCGGCACCCAGCCAGACATCTGCCCAATTTGAAAGGCACTATATAAATGTAAAATTGTGTTGTAGCCTACAATCCTCACCTGATTTGGCAAAGAAATTGATTAGTGCATCCGTTTCACAGCTCTTGTACAAGTCGGTGAGCTGAGAAGTGCAGTTCAGTGCCAGGTTGTGGATACGCAGACGTCTCTGACCAGCAACATTAGTGTACAGCAAGGCACACTGGAAGACATTAACAAGAAACATGTGGCATTACACTAATTAATGAGACACTTGTGATAATCCTGCTGCTTTGAATTATACAAGATAAACAACTAGAAGAAAGAAGTATTCAGAGAGGAAATACCACAAATCTAAAATTAAATAAATGAATCAGGACTTTGTTTTTGCTCTGAATTGGCCCCCAATTTCCACCAAACGCACAAAAATTTAAGAATCTTGAGTTCTTCAAATCCTCTGTAGGGCTATTTAAGGCTGATGGTGGCATCTATAACACACATATTAACATGACAGAGATATAACATGACAGTGAATACAGAGATTACTACTTGATTCTCATTTCTTTGATAAATCAGAGCCTGGTGGGATCTGGATAAATACTGTTCATATCCCTTGACTTTTTAAAGTGTTACATATTCTCTTGTTGTTAATGGAAGCTGTTTTGTGAAGTGCGGAGGTTTTAAGTAACTCGTGCTTTACCTGGATTAAGGCCCCATTCTCTTCATTCAGTTTATCATCATGTTTGAACTCTACCGTGATTGCTTTGTCACAGTCAATGGCTGCCAACTCCACATCTGTTGTATTGTTCATGTACATGGAACCCAAGAAATCAGTTGCCCTGAACCCTAGGAAATAAAGTGATAAAAAAAGCATATTAACACAATCAAAACACAGAGAGCATTCAAATACAATGGACACGTATAACTTTTACCACTTTTCTTGATCTACAAAGAGCACAAGTTCAACATTATAGTGTGGCAAATTTGATGATGCATTCAAGATTTAGTGTGTCTGGATCAAATGAACCTGGATGTGTGTGTCGCATGTCTCCCCCTTCAACAGCGACCTCAATGTTCTCGTCCATACAACTAGGTGCATGCATTAGATTTAGCTCTCAGATATGGTGACTAGCAGGGTATTTGGCTTTTTCAGTTTTTTGGTTTCTTAAATGCCAGTATCAAAGGCTACGGTCTGTCAGCCAGAGGTCCACTGCCACAGTCCTGGTATTCACAGCTGCCACAGTAGGGAACGAAATAGGAGCAGGGTGTATGAACAAGGAGCATCCACCACTGTGTACATTCCATGTGCTAAATATTGAATGTTAAATCCAACATCTTCAGGGCCTAAAGAACATTGGTCCTTAAAAGTCCACAAGACTGATTAAAGTCAGAAGTCATACTGAAACCATTTGACAAAAATTGCTACAAACGAGGGGGAAAAATTTGTGGTAGTTTGAACATTCCTTAAATAAGTAAAATAAATCTGATCAGTACCAGGAGGAGGTGGCAAGTGTTCGTTCCTCTCAGAAGCCAAGTGCGCAATTTTGTTTCACTTTGGGATGAGGACTATTAAAGTGAAAATTGCTGGGCCTACATCAGGCCTTTTTGTTGTTTAATATAATTTTCTCAATGTTGATGTGCTGAGGGGGATTGAAATCCAGGCTTTGTTCAGCCAACTAACTTTAAATGACCAGTTGGACTAGGCCCAATGCCTCTGGGCCAACTTCTAATGTTTTGGCTGAGGAGATTCCGGGTTTTGGCTCTCCTCAGCAGATCAACATTAAGAAAAGCAAAATTAAACAAAAAGAAAGGGAACAGGAGACCAATGTAAGACTTGACATTCACAAAATTGTCACAGATCAAGCAAAGTGGCTGTGTCAAGGCCTTGAGAGGAACAAACCACTTACTCCACCTACAAAATATACAGTCACTACACTTTACAGTAAATGCTGTGAAGCTCTTTGAGGCAATCTGATGATCTATATGAAATGCAAATAATTTTATTCTTATCATCATTATCATCATCTGGAGAGGTGCGCTGCCATCTGCTGGTAGTTTACATATATTCCTTAACATATTTATGGAATGCTTTAACAACTCAAGTTTTATAATATTTTAGTATAATAATAATAATCCTTACATTTGATAAAGTACCTTTCACATTTGGAGGACATTTCAGAGTGCTTCACAGGATCTAAAGACTCTATTTTGTAGGCAAACAAAGCAGCCAATTTTGTGCACATCAGTGCTCCACAAATAGCCATCCATCAATTTTACCCCTTTATTATCATCAATTTATCTGCTTTTACTGACATCACGATTTCATAATCCATCAGGAAATAGGGGAGTTACTAATATCAGCAAAGAATTGGGACTATTGTGAACTATTATGAGCACATTTTAAATCATTTGTGTTATTTAATAATAATACATCTTGCATTTGATGTAGTGCCTTATCAGTTCTTCGAGACATTTCAATGTGCTTCACAGCATATACTGTAAAGTGAATTGACTGTATTTTGTGGGTGAATGAAATGAATATATATAACTTCATAATATGAAGAGATGAAAAAAAAGTTACAAAAATAATTTGCTTTTAATTATTATTTGGGACAGCATGTGACCATTACTTCAAGCAAAGCCAAAGCAATGAAACTTTCACATGAACAGGCTACAAACACCTTTAGCACTGCATTGGATTGTCATGTTAAATTACATGAGTTCCAAGTCCTAAAGTGGGGCTTAAACTCACAATCGTCAGAATGAAGGGGGAGATTGCTACCAACTGAGCAAGGCTGACACAAATAGAACTAAATATATGAAGACTATACAGCCATGCAATGTCATCAACTCTGAGGCATTCCTCTACACTTTGTTTTCACTGTATTTAAGCTTTTGCTGTGTGAAGCACTGAAAATATATCTGGAGATGAACACAGTCACGGTCTGTTTTTCATCAAAAGGGATTTATACACAGTGGTGAGGCAGATAAACAGGCAGATAGAAACGGAAAGCACATCATGCTAAATATTTAAAGGAGAGAGAAACGGGTGCTTGGAGAAATAAAGTAAATGCTACTTGTTGTTTAACAATGATTTAACAGATCACGATTCTTTATGTCTGTTTTCTTTAAAAGAAGGTTGAACAGTATAGCGAAAGCCAATTGGTGAGTAATCTAGTCTAGATGTAATAATAACACTAATCCTTGTTTTTGATGTGGTGACTTATCAATTGTCTCAAAACATTTCACAGGATTTCCTGTAGATTGCAATGATTGTGTATTTGTAGACGAACAAAACAGCCAATATATGCTACAAACATTGTCCTACAAACAGCCATGAAGTGAAGAATCAAATCTATCTGGGGAGTGTTGGCTAGGACACGAGAAGAAACTTCCTTCTCTTTTCGAATAGTACCATGGATCTTTAACACCCCCTCGAACAGCGAGACAGGACTTAGGTTTAATACACCATCAACAGGACGGCACCTTTGTGTGTTCAATGTGGCAATTTGGGGCTTGAAGCCACAATCTTTTGACAAAGATTAGATACGACAAAGCTTCCAACTGAGCCAGGCTGACACCCTGTAGCCAATGAGGTATTTTGTTGATGAGTCAGCCACCCACATCCTCTCGCTGTGTCCCTTTAAGAAAGTTAGGGAGTTTCTGAGGAATTAAATAATTGCTTGACATTTTTACATCTTTGATATGCAAGTATGAGGGGACCGAATAAGTGTAACTGATTTGCAACTATTCATGTAACATATAAGTGATTTTTATTATGTTCAGTAATCTTCCAGAGACACACAATATAAGCGGCCCAAATCATTTGGACACTGAATGAGGTTATCATTTCTGAACATAATAATTCCTTAAAAAAAATAATAAATTGGTCAATCCATGACTGTCTATGGGACACTGCTGTGTGCAATTGGCTGCCATGTTTCACCCATCAAATAAACAGTCAATTCACTTTACGGTGTATTCTGTGAAGAACTTTGAGATGTCTCGAAGACATGATAAAGCGCTATATCAATTGCAAGGCTTATTATTATTATAATCATCCAATATTGTATATAAAAAATACTGAAACATATTATTTTGCTTACAAGTTCTAAGATAATAAATAAACTCTATACGCTAAAACTGATCACAAATTTATAAGATATTTTCAATGCCACTTTTTCAATTGCATTTATCCATTAAGATAAACACACCAATCGATCTTTTTCCCACCCTTCTTTATGTTCATGATCTTGTTTTGCTCCTTTTGTGAATGAACAACTATCCGATCGTTTGAAACTGGAGGAGGATAGGCACAGAGAGTAAACAACTATAATTGTAAGTGACTTCTAGTTCATAAGATTAGTTTTGCCCACAAATATACAGTCAATTCACTTTACAGTGTATTCTGTGAAGAGCTTTGAGACGTGAAAAGCGCTATATCAAATGTAAGGATTATTTATTTTTATTATTAGTGTTAGTGATGGAATTGTTGTAGGTGGTGGTTTTGCTTTTGGTTTCCCTCTTTCCTTTTTCCTCTTTCTTAATTTCTGAGAATTCAGTTAAGTTTCCCAGGGATGGGCTGCAAAGTTCAAATTGAGTTAAAACATTTAACTTGAATTAAATGCTAAATGTATTAAACAAATATAACAAATTTCTGGAATAGACTAGCTAGTGTGGTCAAGTACAACTTTGCTTCTGCACAGATGTAACTAAGATTTTAAGAAAAGGAGAGCAATTTGTGACATTTCACAATAGATTTGATGTAAAACTACAGAACATCACTGGTTTCTGAAAGCCCTCATAACCTTGGCAAAATTGTTTGCTCCATATGAGCTTCTGAAAATTGTGTGGATGCCACCTTTAGTATAGGCTGAGGGAGTGTGGGAGGAGCATACAATTTTAGGAGCTCAGTGGCTGCATATGAATGCCAAATTTCTTGCAGCTGAATGTCAACAAGGAGGAAGCCATACACTTTGGTTCCTGTGAATGTCTTCTCTCCTGCAGGTCTGAACTGCTCAACCTCCCAGGGCTCTCCCACAGACTTACCAAACCCATGTGCAATGTAGGCATCAGGTTCGATCTCTAGTTTTCCTTTCTATTCCCTGATCAGGACCGCTTTATTCCACCTCCGCCATATTGCCCTCCTCCATCCGTACCTCTCAGCTAATACAGTCAAAACCCTTGTGCACACATTCGTCACTTTCTGGCCTATTCCAATGCCCACCTCGCTGGGCTCTCTGGCTCCACCATACATTAAATCCAATTAATTCAGAACTCCAACACCCGGATACTCACCCGCACAAAACTCTATAACCGTATCACACCAGCCCTTGCCAGGCTCCACTGGCTCTCAATTCAGGAACGGTTTGATTTTAAGATCCTCTCACTCATTTTCAATTGTCTTCATGCTCTTGCACCTCCCTACCTATCCATCTGCTTATCCTGCACTCCACCACCTGCTACCTCCACTCGGATGGCTCCGGCTTCCTGTTAACCTCCTCCCCTCCGCTCCACAATCAGTGGACAGACCTTCAGCCACTGTGCCCCGAGACTCTGGAACTATCTCCCTCAATGCTTCCACCTTGCCCCCTCCGTCACCAACTTCAAATCCTGCCTAAAGAGCTTCCTTTTTGATTGTGCTTATGGTCACCTCCCCCCTCCCTCTCCCCCTGGCTCGTTGTCAGACTCCACCTCTGTCAAGCACTCCGGGACACTACCCAGGTTGAAGGGCGCTATATAAATGCAAGTTGTTGTTGTTGAGTTAAGCTAGCATCCAACTTCGGAATGCTTAAATATTTTCTGTCCATTTTTAGGAGCACGGAGTTCACCCCAACCATCATGTCAAAGCTGGAGGTGTATTGGGAAATGTCACTTCTCTCCTGCGTGTTCAGACCCCCAAGAGCGAAGATGTTGACGCGAGTCAAAGAGTATGGCTTCCGTCCCGCCGATATTCAGCTGCAGGAAATGTGGCATTCGTATGCAGCCACTGTAACAAGCTAAATTCTGAAGGTTGGAATTTGAGATCTGAATAGCCATTCTGACTATAAAGTGACTGTGTTTCTCTCAGGAGATACCTGCATTGTCAAAGTCTTGTTGTGGGGATTAACCTTCTAACCCAGAGGCAAGAGTGCTACCAACTGAGTAAGACCGACACACTGAGCAATGAACAAGCTAAGGATCTTCAGTCTCTAGCGTCTGAAGTCTAACATTTTAAATTGGATTGTAAGAGTAAACCCAGATCAATACAAACCCAGATGCAACAGACAGTTGAGCAAGGGGACATAGGTTTGGAGTTGCAAACGGCAATTTCAGGACAAAAAACAGGAAGTTTTTGTTTACTTGGAGAGCAATCAAAACTAGAACAGGTTGCAGGAAAGGTAGTGGAGGCCAGGAGACTGGACTCTTTTAAAAAGCAACTTGATCCTATGATGGGGGTCACAATAAGATGTTCTGGAATGATGAGATTGTGTAGGTCGAAGGGATTTCTTCATCCAAACCGATCTTGTGATCCCTTACTCTGTTGCCCAAACTACACTCTTTCTCAATAATATGTGTTGTGTACAATGCATCCTTACCTGTGCTTGTCCTAACCCTCATGATAGCATCAAATCCAATTGGTTTCTGTACATCCTTTCTCAGGTCATTCAAGAAATGTTCAGCATCCGTCTGTATCTGCGAAGTAAGCATTGTGAAAAAGCTCAAGCCGTATAGTACAGTATTTACCAGTTGATGGCACTATCACCGCTATTCAGAGCAGCAGACAAATATCAGCAAAGGAAATGTGTGATACAATGTTTTGGCTGTTTTGGCAAATTTATAGAAGGTAACACTAGTGTATTCCTATTTTCTAATTGTTAGCAGTTTATTTTATGTGTTCTGAATTCAATGTAATGACAGCGGTCCCAATAAAGCACATTTCTTGATTTATTTATCAAATTCAAGAATTATTATTATTATCAGAAACTGAACTGATTAATTTGGCAGTAGCTGGGTGCACAGCTGACACATCTCTACTTAACCTCAGAACAGGGAATAACAGGTATTTCAATACAGTGCATTGAAATAAATCCAGCAAAGCCATCACAGTTGTGAGTTATATAAATGGAACATCATCAGTTGACACTGGTAGGTATACTGAATCAGCCACATTATCCAGAATACACAAGTGGAGTATCCTGTTGAGTTGTGGGCTTGGAACTTTTGAACAGATAAGGATTCGGAAAACAGAAACTAAAATATTTATAGATATCAGCACTTCGACCAAAAGGGAGAAGCTAAAGAAGGCAAATTGGTTCTCACCGAAGAAAAAAAATAGTAAGAATGGACATGATGCAAGTGTTTGGAAATGGAGCAGTTATTTTCTTCAAAACTAAGAAAGGAGAATCGTGGGAAAGGATTGTAAATTAATTTAATAATGAGCTGGATGTAAACTAAGAAGCAATTTCTTCCCATTGGGAATTGTTAACTGATGGAATAAGCTGGCAGATAACACAGTGCCTCAGATGGAGAAAACTGAACACATGATTGTAAATGCAACAAAAAGTAGTAGATAGAGAGAGACAGATTAGAGATGCGAGAGACGATATTGTGTAATTCTTGAAAGACAACTAAATGGTCTACTTTCCACTGATGAAAAACTATATTATTAAATATTGTGCAAAATTATTCATTAGTACACAAATATATATTTTTCTCCACAATATGAACATATGCTTGCAAACTCGCATATACATATATACATAAAAGAAAAATGTGAAAAAAAAGTTAAGTGGCTTGCTTTAGACGTGTGTCTTACAGACTCGACATTTGTCAGTGGTCTACAAGTCCACATTGATACCCCATCCAATTTACCCCATATCTCAAGGGCCAAAGCATGGAGCAGAGTTGGTGAATAGGCTCTGCAAATAGAAAATCACAACAGGAAAACAATTTACAGGCTCTTTAAGCGAGAAATTAAACTGAATTTTACCTGAAAATTATTGTACTTGTACAGCGTGCCACCAGTGTACGATGGCACGATGCCCATGGTCGCCACATCCACATATTGGTTTGGAAATAGAAAGAGGTCAACGCAACAGCTATTGGCCACACAGTCCTTTGCCAGGGTCTCATAGCAATTAGACTGAGGTTGAAAAAGGGTCTGCAAGGTATTAAGAATAATCAAATTAATAATAATAAACAACAACACGATTACATTTGTATACATTTCACGTCAGGAGGACGTCCCAAGGCGCTGGACAGTGTACAACATTTCAGACCCGAGCTGGGGTCAATGGGTGGGGGGGGGCGAGAAGGGTGGGGAGGGGAAGGAGGGTGGTTGAAGAGAAGGGTCTTGAGGCGGGACTTAAAGGAGGCTAAGGAGGGGGTGAGGCGGAGTGATTGGGGATGGAATTCCAGAGGTTGGGGGCAGAGTGGCTGAATACTCTCCTGCCAATGGTGGGACGGGTGGGTCGGGGGACATGGAGCAGACCAGAGCCTGCTGAGCGGAGGGAGCGGGCGGGTTGGTAGGGCGTTAGGAGGTCGCAGAGGTAGGGTGGGTCAAGGCCATGGAGGGCTTTGTAGGTGAGGTCCAGGATCTTGAACTGGATCCTCTGAAGGATAGGAATCCAATGGAGTCGGGCGAGAATGGGGGAGATGGGGTCACGGAGTTTGGTGCAGGAGAGGACACGGGCTGCAGAGTTAAAACATAAAAACATAAGAATTAGGAGAGGAGTAGGCCATTCGGCCCTCGAGCCTGCCCCACCATTCGATAAGATCATGGCTGATCTTCAAACCTAACTCTAATTACCTGCCCTATCCCCATATCTCCTAATCCCTCAGTTTTTTAAAAATCTATCAGTCTCAACCTTGAAGATGTTCAAGGAAGGGTTCTGGATTATCTGCTGCCAGTGTAGGGAGGAGTTGGGAAGGCCGACAAGCAGGGCGCTTGCATAGTTGAGCCTGGAGGTGATGAAGGCATGAATAAGAGTTTCAGCGGCCTGAAGTGTGAGGTAGTGTCGGAGTCGGTCGATGTTACAGAGGTGAGGGAAGGCAGAGCGGGTCATGGCTTGGATGTGGGGAAGAAAAAAACGTTAAGGGTCGAACAAGACACTGAGGTTCCTGACTGGCTTGGTGAGTTGTAGTGTGCAACCATGGAGGTTGATGCTGCCAGAGCCTGAGGTGCAGAGGTGCTGGCATGAGCCAATCAGGATGGCCTCAGTCTTGTTCACATTCAACTATAAGAAATTTGCCCTCATCCAGGACTTGATGTCCGACAGACATTCTGTCAGGACAGCAGTGGTCCTGGAGTTGAGGGTGGAGACAGAAAGATAGAGTTGGGTATCATCCGCATACATATGGAAGTTGACCCCATGTCTGTGGATGATGTCACCAAGGGGGAGCATGTAGATATTAAAGAGGAGAGGGCCAAGGACAGAGCACTGGGGGACACCGACGTGACAGTGCGGAGGCTGGAGGAGAAACCGTTAGAGGCAATGACGTGGTGACGGTGAGAGAGATAGGAATCGAACCATGCAAGGGCAGGTCCGCGAAGATTAAGTAAGGAGGAGAAGCAGTGTATGAGGATGGAGTGGTCGACAGTGTCAAAGGCGGCAGAGAGGTCGAGGAGGACAAGGAGGCAGAGGGAGCCCTGATCACAGATGTTCAGAATGTCATTAGTGACTTTGACCAGGGCTGTTTCTGTGCTTTGGGCAGCACGAAAGCCAGATTGGAGGGGTTCGAAGAGGGAATGGCGAGAAAGAAAGGAGCGAGAAAGAAAGAGTAATACAAACAAAGAAACAACAATACCATGAATATAACAAACTCTTTTATCATTACAGTGCCCTGTCTGAATGGGTGTCTGAAACTGGAATCAAAGTAATTGTTCACACCAAGACCCAGGTCTCACTCAGCAGATTGTGAGTGTCGATGCAGCAACTCTCTGCTTTCACCTTTTCCTGAATAAGGGGCATAAAACACTGGGCAAGCAAATTCAAGCTTTGTTTTCAGCATTAAATTTTAAAACACTTTAAAGAGAAAAGTCTGGGGTTAATGAACGGTGAAATTTTGGCTCGATAAGTTAAGGAGAACATTCGGTTGCAAAAGAATTGAAGTGTTTTGGGGAAAAAAAATATTTGAAACCCCAAGAGACACTCGCCTTTATTTCACTGGATGATTCATGAATTGATGTACTGAATACAGATTCAACAGAGCTAAACATGACATTGTCCAGTGAGAAGACATTTCACATTAGTACAGGATTGCTTTATCTTCCTTCCCAATGTAATTTTACTAGGTGCTTGGCTACATTTTAGTTTTGAAACTGCTGTTTGGTAACAGCAGCTGCCTCAAAGTGACAAAGCTGTGGTTGGCGTGTGCCAGTTGCATTTTTATTTTATTGCTGTATTAAAGAAAACCTTATTGCTTTCCCCTTAATGTTTCATCATGATGCAGCACACATCCTCGAAACTGATGAAACACTTCATCTGTCACACTGATTTACAAGATGACCAAAGCAGCCCTGGCTGGATCTCCTGCTCAACTCTCATAAAATCTCACCCACATGTCCATTCACACGCTCTTCCTCTCCCTCTCCATTATCATTGGGTTGTAATGAAATCAAAATCACTGCACTATTGCCAGCCAACATTATAACAACAACAACCCCACCCCCCCAACAGAGTAGGTCCCAGAGTGCTTCAATCATAACTCACGCTTTTCATATGCAAAAGTTACAAAGAACTTCACCGATGGAGTGGGGGTATTGAACGAGGGAAGTGACCAAAGGTGCAGTCGAAGAGTTAAGTTTTTAGAAGTGTTTCTAAAGCAGAAAGTGAGGTGGAATATTCTGCATATTTAGTTAATAAACTTGATGATACAGGATAACTAAGTTAATACTGAGTGTTGTTTGCACAAGATTTCAACTCAAACTCCACTTAATACAAAAAATATTAAAGGATATCAAATGGATGCAACACAGATCAATGTGGTGTATCGAAGGACATGTCTAACTGCTTAGTTTATAGTCACGATCATTTTACAACAAAATCTACTCTTTCACTTAGAATTTGTGGGGTGAGCGTTGATTTAATACAGTATATAAAATAATGGTTTTCCCCATATAAGCCTCACCACAGCTTACTTCTACTTAAAGAGCTCCTAGATTTTGTCTTTTACCTCTGGAATGTTATTCGCAATCTTGCAGGCAATTTACAAATAAAAGGGGTTAAAATACCACACGTTTCCATTCACACCAAATACAGTATGTTTTGCTGAAAAAGCAAAGCAACTTCTGCAATATTCCCATAAATGACTACATAAAAAAGAATGTGGTGAAATGCACTTTATTGAAGATAGATTTCCGAAGTGTTGTACCTTCTCTTTGTCTGTATTCACCAGCTTCCTGTCGTCTCTGTTTTTGAGTTTACCTGGTGCTTCAGCTGTTGGAAGGGAGGAGTGGAATATAAATAGTTTTCCAGAACATTCCGCAGCCTGCCGAGAATTAAAAAAAAGGATTCAATAAACTTGCTGCGGAAATATTCTTATCAAGGTGTTAATAGCAGAATGTCTAACAGCTCTTTATATTCTCAACACTTTCCATTAGTCATTGGAAACAAAGCAATATTTTAAAGATGTACAAATACCCAGGGTTTAATTTATCAATGGGCTGTGTCAAGGGATGTGTGGATGGAAAAAAGGTTAGAAATAACATTGTTAACTCTTGACTATAATTTTTTTGTTGTAAGAGTCGATCACCGTCTGCCTAGTTATACACAAGAGGAACAATCTCCAGTAGACAGTACATTTCCTGTTCTTGGCAAGTGATCAGATCCTATTCTCTGCAATTAGTAAGCAGTCACAATATATTTGCCGCATGTGGTTGCAAACAATTCAAAATCCTGCATCATGATACAATTCCAACTAGAACCACGCTACATGTTTGAACTCTGGCTTTGCAGGGTTGAACAAATCTATACACCAGTTCAGTCTCAGAGAGATCAGGTTCTTCCTGCCCTCCTTTCTACCTAAAAAGATCATTTAGTTTCAATATGGTTCGAAATTCATTAGTCTTGAAAGGGACAAGTCCTGAGTAGAGCTACCAAGATTTGAAACTAGAAACTTCTACTCAGAAGGCTGATGCTGTTTGTGAGTAGGGGTTGGGGGGAATTATGGACATAAAACTGTACTAAAGATTTCATAGATACGACACTGGAATATGAACCTACCACAACACAACAATATGCATTCAGTTCAAACTTGTTTGATTGAAAGAGCAAAACATTAATTCCCAATGCTATCACTGCATTTGTAACTTCGTAAAATTAGCTAATTCTGGTCTGGTTAAAATTTCTAGCCAGTTTGCATTTCATTCTTCNAAAAAAAACTATCTTGGCAGCAACCATTTACAAAATGATCCAGGTTCACTGACAAACATGAGAGTCATCTTTTGGGAACCCAGATTTAAGCTCACAAGTGGGAAGGTGATTAGACAGTTTAAATTCAACTACTTTACACAGAGAGTGGTGAATATCTGGAATAAACCATTCAAGGAGATGTTGGAAGCAGATTGCTTCAGCAAATTCTACAGGGAATTAGCTATTTGGCATAGAAATCTATTCATGGATATGAGCAATGGAATAGTGTAGGATGTTTCTTAAACTTTAGAATCAACCAGATGGACCGAATGGCGTTTTCCAGGATGTACATTCCAATGTTTCTATGTAAAACCTGGCATTCAATACACCTACTTATTGAAAGGATAAGTGCCTTTAATGTAGACTGTGCTAACTCTAAGACAGCAATAAATAGTTTGAAGAAAGTGGACAACTACAGGATTAAACGCCTTGGTTCAAAACTTTCTCTCTGAAACTAATGCTGATAACAAAACCCTGCTTTGGAAAAAGTGAGTCAAGGATACTTATTTCTGTTCAATGTGGACAATCATACAAGAGAGCTGTGTAAGTTCACTGTATCCATTGGGTCAAAAGAAACACTGCAATCAGATGATGTAGTGTTTAGTGCGGAGATCTGCATTTACAACCCTATGCAGATGAATTAGGTCACTCAATTTCTTTTGTAATGAGCGATGTATTCTCTGCTACCAAACTGTGATTTTGCTAGATGATCGAAATGCAAAGAGTTATTCTTAGCAATAATCACAACCATTTTTGGAGGGTTTACAGCTGCAGAAACCTCCGGCCCCTACAATGATGAATTCTGGCACGAAATGAAACTGGTAACAGGCCCAAGAAGAAAACACACCTCAGCAGCAATGGAGCCTATTATTATAAGATTAATGATTTTCATGTGTGTCTGTGTGCATTGGTCTTTGTATCAGCATTTAACCCTTCTATTTGGTCAGACCCATCACCATGCTTAAGAGTATCCAAATTAAATTGAGAATTACATGCATCTGACCTATACTTGGAAATCCCAGAGATAGATTGTTGGAATGGAATGTGCATTCTCTCCTTGGAGGGATGCTCCTGCTTACCTAATTTGGAAAGTATTAGGCACAGGTTGGCAAGAGCCAAGGCTTGGGTACCCCAGAGTGTGGGTTGGGGTACTGCTGGCATCTTAACCAGCTAAAACCATATAGCTTGCCATTTATATTGCTATCCTGCAAGCTTTCTCTCTGCTTGTTCAGCTAGCATCACCATACCCGTTAGAGCTTTGGCTTGCAGGATTAACAGGAGCTGAATGGGATGACTCCCTGCGTCCAGTGCCTGGTTTGCCCTTCCAGGTCCTGCTGATGAGCCAGGCTGGTTGTGCTGTCTTCAGCAATGCCCTGGAATACTGCGGACATGCCTGGCTCAAGAACCGGACTACTGAGACCGTTCACAGAGGGTTGGCTCGATTCTGACATTTCGTTGCCAAATATGGCTCACATTTAATCCACAACAGGTAATTGGATAATAATAAAACATCAGAGAGAACAGCATTCACTGAATGGAAGCATGCCCATAAGAAAACAATCAGTGAATCGTGAGGTTTAGGGATGCAAGTAGATATCTTTAAAACAATAATAGTTCTCTTGTGATCCATATTATTACCTACTTCCAGTAGGTAATAATAGTTGGGTTGGGTCCAGTTGGGTCGGGACCCATTTCCCCCCTGCTCGGGTCCCGACCCAACTGTCCAGCGCCTTGGGACGTCCTCCCGACGTGAAAGGCGTTCTATAAATGAAATCTTGTACTTTATTTGTAAACCCTCATTTATGCAATTTTCTTCCCCTTACATTAAATTTATTTATCTTGAGGAATGGATGGAAAGGATGCTCTGGAGAGATTAAGTTTACAACACATTGACTTATGGGTATCTGTAGGATAGAGGAGGAAAAGGAGAACACATTTCTTGTGTGGTTTTAATTTCTTCACATTGTCTTTTATGAGGGCTCTACCAACCTACAGATGTAGTCTTGATGAGGATCAGTGCCGGAATCCTCAGCCTCTTTCTCTTTCCAGATGGTAATTGACTAGCTGTGGAATTCCAGCTTTTCAATTTTTTGTTTTAGATTTCCAGATTCTGGATTTTTTTTTTCTTTTGGTTTGTGTTTTTGTGCAGTTTCCAGTTTAACTTGGGACCCAGTGGCTCCAGAGATAAATCTCCCTGTGGCAGTTTACTAGCTAAAGGCCAATTTTGGGGTAGGTGAGTCTAAATGGATATTAGGAGCCACAGGGAAAAGGAAAATGGGTAACAGCGGTGCTCCCAATCCTTATTTTACGAAAGAGAAACAAGGTCGCCTCAGTGGTTCAGGAGATGTTCTTCTGAAAGTCAAACTTTACTCTTCAGACCAGGAGAATTTCATCTTTGATTCCTGGTCTGTTCTGTTTGTTGATCTCAGCCAGATGAGCAGGGAGAATGTTTCATTGGACTCAAGAAAAATCAACCCTAGTCCTAGTTCCTCACCCAGTAGGTTGTGACCCCTGCTGAAAAATGCATATGTATGAATGTGAGGTGGGGACAGAATGATGTTTAGTTGTGATTCCCCAAACAAGCAGTATGATTTTACTCATTGCCTAGACTTGGACATGAAAATGGGTTGCTTGGAGGGGGTGGTTGTGGAAAAGGGGAAAATAATGTAAAACCAACTCCAACAGGAGCCAACACATTCAGGACAAGCAAGGTGAAGATTTGAAAGTTTAGGAAAGATATATGGGAAGCCTGATATTACTGAATTTCGAAAATCTGACATTACTGAATTTATTTACACTGAACATTGTATTGTAGCTTACCATTTAATCATCATAGTGACAATGACTTTTTTATTTTAATAAAGTGGGATAATCTCCTCCGGATTAATTATTACTATTAAATTACCACTTCCCTCCCTAGGTGAATAACTCCATGTTTAAAACCGTTAGTACAATTATCAGAGATTTTCCCAGTGGATCCCTTGAGCTAATCTTAGGTTTTCTGTTCAGTTCCATTCATTCATATTGAAGACACTCAATTCATAATGAAAACAAATTATACCTTCATAGCTTCCAGGCCAGCTTGTACAACTGGAGCAAAGACGGTTTCACTCTCATTAGTGTCTCCAAACATCTCGGGGATCTGCTCCAACAGACTGTAAAAATAAAATAAACCCATTCAAAGTTAATGTTCACAGAGTCCCCCTGGGGAGGAATTTCAAGCCCATGATATGATTTAAAGAGCTATCTCGAGTTGGTGGGGTGGAGGAGGGGAGAGAGGAGAAACGGTTTGTGGAACAGATAAGAACATGTTACTGTGAAAGCTCAGTACTCTTGCCGTTTGCCAGACTAGCTCCCCAGAGAAACTTTGTGCTGTGCTACATACTGCTTTTCTTCAGAAAAAATACAAAGAACGTACAGTCAGCCTGGCTCATCGGCAGGACCTGGAAGGGCAAACCAGTCACTGGAGCAGGAGATCATCTTACTCAGCTCCTGTTAACCCTGCATGTCTAATTGTTGTATTTTGATATAGCGCCAATGCATTGTTGAAATGTCTCGAAGTATAATAATAATAATGATCCTTGCATTTGATATAGTGCCTTATCACTTCTTCTCGACGTCTCAAAGCGCTTCACAGAATATACTGTAAAGTGAATTGACTGTATATTTTGTGGTATATCTTCACAAGTTATACTGTAAAGTGCAGTGACTGTATTTTGTGGAAGAAATGTGGCAGCCAGTTTATGCAGAGCAGTGTCCCACAAACAGTCATGGAGTGAGTGACCAATTTTATTTGGGGGATTGTTGGCCAGCACACCAGGAGAAAGTCACTACTCTTTCAAATAGTATCATAGGATCTTTATCGTCTACCTGAACAGGCAGATGGGACCTCGGTTTAACGTCTCTTCTGAAGGACAGAACCTCCGACAATGAAACACACCCCAGCACTGCATTGGAGTGTCATCTTAGACTATGTAATTCCATGTCCCGATGTAGGGCTTGAACCCACAACCTTCTGACTCAGAGGTGAGAGTGCTACCATTGAGCCAGCTAGATCACTTTAAGTTGCTTAAAGTCTTTAATTTGTATTCTGGTTAACTTGCTTAATATCTTTTCTTTTTATTCTTATTTGCTAAAAATGATTCTTAAATTAATTAATATATTTGAAGTGGCAGACATGATCAATAATCTAATGACAGCCCCTTAATGGCACTGCCTGGTGTAAAATTGAGCCAGGCAGACCTGTGTGGGAGTTTCCAAGTTCAGTTACCAGTCTACGCTCAGGTAGCTGGTCTCTGCTGAGATAACTTTACGAGCCACTACAGTTACCCTCAGTTTCCTGGGCTAAGCAAATGAAAACGGTTCACTAGGATAGCAAAGAATGTTTATATTTCAGCCCTTCTGCTGAAATAGGGATAATTCTGTATATTGTTCAGATTATTTGCAACATATCCAACTGGCCTCAGGTCTGGGCAGCAGCACTTGGAAAAATCAGTTTCCTTGTGTCTCAAAATGCTTTGGCTTTATACAACTGTGTTGGAATGCTGAGGGGAGGAGTCAGGAGTCTGGAAAGAGTTGGGCTATAGGCCACAAAGCCCTGGTACATACTCATAGCCATCAATTACTCCTTTCTAAAACTATCTATCTTTGGCAGGAACTTTCACAATCAGTGCTCCCTTTCAACAATCCAATGTTGCATAGAATTAAAATGACTTTTTAAGATCCTTGTTTTCTTCTTTTTAAAAAATATATATTTTTGTTTTAAATTGTAAGTGCCGCTGAGATTGTGGAAGGAACTTGGTTTGGAGGAGTCACTGAGGCCTGAGATTGCAAGGCACATAAATAAACATTGTGTTTTTTTCTGGGCATCCCACCTATACATGGAAATTCACATGTACCAGAATGGAATGCGGACTCTTTCCCTGGAGGAATGTATCCTGTTAACCTAATTCCAGAGAGTATTAGGCACAGACTTGAGGAACCCAGGGTGTGTGTTGGGGTACTGCTGGAGTTTAACCAGCTAAAACTGCATAGTTTGCCATTCAAAGCACTGACTGGCAATTGGCAATTTCCAAACAATATAGCAATATATCACATCAGTCAATTTAAATAAACAAAATATCTGAAAATGGTAAGCTGAGAGAATTGACCCCCAATTTTTGTTTCATACTTGTTAATAACGGATCGTGATTCGTGAACATTGACAAAGAAGCCATCCAGAAGAGGGACGAACATCTCTCCCACGTCAGACACCACCAGCATCTGTGGCTGTGCGAGGCTGCTCTTCAAATTGTAGAAATGGAGCACCTTGTTGTAGGTAACAAAGGCAACTCGAATGGCGGACGTCTCTGCTTGGTCTTCCCTGTTAAAAAATTTCAAAGTGAAGGTGGAGATTGGAAACAGCTAAACAAATATTCCACAAACCAATATAATAATAATCCTTGCTTTTGCTATAGCACCTTTCATATCAGGAAGACATCTCAATGAGCTTCAGAGGATGGGTGTACAGGAAATACCCTCAGCTTTACCTTCATGGTTCTGTCCTTTCCAGGTTTCATTCTTACCTATCCCAACCTCTCCACTTTGCATTTGCCAATGGCTTCTTCTGCATCTCTGGAACCGTCACATGTGGCATTCCTCAGGGCTCTATCGTTGGTCCTCTCCTATTTAATATCTACATGCTTCTGCTTGGCGATATCATCTGAAGACATGGGGTTAATTTCCACACATATGCAGATGACATCCAACTCTATCTCTTGATTCCAGGATCACTGATTTTCTGACCAACTGGCTTTCAGATATCAAGTTCTGGATGAGCTCTAACTTCTCCAGTTGGATATCGACAAGACAGAGGCTCTCCTACTTGGTTCCTGTCAGTGCCTTCTCACCTCAGGTACTGGCAGCATCAAACTATTTGGATGCACACTCCACCTCAGAGTCTGTGAGGAACCTTGGTGTCTTGTTCAACTCTCAATTGTCCTTTAAAAATCTATATTCGTGTTCTGCCCTGCTCAGCTTTCCCCCACCTCCGTAACATTATCACCGCTCCTCAGCCTGCCATGTCCCTAAATCATGCAGCCATCACATCCAGGCTTAACTACACTAGCTCTCAGCTTGCCCAATTTTCCATCTCTTTTCTCCATAAGCTGCAACTCGTGCCCTCTCCCACTCCAGGATCCTTGAGCCTGGCTCTACTGGCTCCCCATCAACCAGCGAGTCGAGCTCAAGATCCTCATCAGAACCTTTAAATCCCTCCATGGTTTTGCCCCACCCTACTTCTGTAACCTCCTCAAAACCTAGAAATCTGGTCATTTCCTCCCCTTATCAGGCAACAGCCTGCTTTTCATCCTTCACCTCACCATCGCTGGTTGGGCTTTCAGGTTATCACACCCTGTAGGATTCCATCCAAACAGTCTCTTTGACTCACCCTTTCCCTCACGTCCTTCAAGGTCTGCCTCAAGATCTTCCTCTTTGATTGCTCTTTTGGACATCTTCCCCCCCCAACAACAATCCTTCAGATACAATTAGTGGTACTATGCTGTGCACAAAAGGGCACCCTCATTTGCCTGCAAAAATCAATTGCGAAACTTGACAATCACCGTGAAGCACTTTGAGATATTTAAATTTGATAATGCTCTGCTTCTAAAGAAAGAAACAAGGAAGCATACAAGACTATAGTAAAAAAAATCATGTACTGTCAACCAAGATGAAAATGAGCTGTCCAGACATCTGCACTAGGATAACAGAACATCTGCATCAGATTTCATGGCTTCTCTCAAGATGTGGAGTGAATTCAATTTTGTTCGCAATGTTCATCAAAGCCTGGAATAAATGGCACTCAAATCTATAGCATATGTTGAGATTTCAGAGTTTGATCAATCTCTAAAATGTTTGTCAGGTAAAATTAACTTCACATGAGGGAAATTGATGCATAATAATTTGGTGAAAGTTGGATAGTCTAAAGAGTTAATGTTCCTGGTTGGGACAATACTATACTTCATTGGGCACTAATTTGCCAATCTCAATTAGAATGGTGAGAGAATTAAAGCTCACAGGAGTCCCCAGTTCCTCTCGACTCTGCCCTGCTCCACTGGTGTGTGGATCACTGAAAGGAGTTAAATATAAAGGTTCAGATAAAAGTGCATGGTGACTGACTGCGTACTGAATGTTCCCACTGCAGTAAACTCCTGATAACTCGTCGCTTCAAGGGGAAAAGAGCTCGATAACTAGGATCAGGAGCGGCAAGTTTCCTTTAAAAAAAGAATAATATTTGGTCACTCAATCCACGACTGTTTGTGGGACACTGCTGTCCGTAATTGGCTACCGCGTTTCGCCCACAAAATATACAGTCAATTCACTTTACAGTATATTGTGAAGTGCTTTGAGACATCTCAAAATCGTGATAAGGCACTATATCAAATGCAAGGATTATTATTATATCATATTTGTTCAGTGAGGGGGAAGGAGCTGCTCTACCTGAGCTTGTGTGATATACAACATATTTGGACTCACAAAGGGAGCTTCAATCTACATCTAATTTGGATTCTATGCCTCTAATTGTGCTTAGACTGGGTACCCCAAATTGGTGAACTCTACCATGGCTCACTGTGAGAACAAAAAATTAATCACAGATAGAGCTGGTAGAGAAATTGAGACCTTCAGGTTTTTAACTGTAGCTTTTAGATTGCTGTGTAAAACGGAGACTAGGCAAGCAGTGGTGGAATTAGTTAAACCACCGGATTTAATTGGATCCGAACAAAGCCACTGAACCTGGGCCAGTTCATAAACCTCTATCCAATGGATTACATACTCAACCAGCACATCCATTTGAAGTGTATGGTAGTTTTCCAAGGACAGTATGGTGGAGATTAACTTTGGTTGCTATATAATGGCTGCATTCTCCTAAGGCAATATGAGGTCACTTTTTCATGGAAATGGTTTCAGTTATTATGAAACAACTGTTCTTAATGTAATCAAACTCTACACTGGAACAATCACTACACTTTATCCTGAACTATAATGGAATACAATACAATTCACATTTATATATTGTCTTTCACTCCAGGAGGATGTCTCAAAGCACTAATGTAACTGTCAAACAAAAGAAGAACACTGAACACAGAGAAAGAAAACAGACCCATCTTATCTCACTTTTCATATTGTTTCAGCTTTTGTAAATATATGAATATTATTTAGGATTTATTTTTAGATCAGTGAGTTGGTCTGCAATGGTCTTTCAGGTCCTGTATTCCTAAATTCCAGACATAAGATCATGAATGGATGGATGAAGTCTGTGATATAATACGATTTTGCACAAACTGCAGAGGGAATGGGTATAATGAGCCAAATCCCCTTTGTGGAGTCCTGTAGCTTAGTGGTTAGAGTACTCGCCTTGCAAGCGAGAGGACCTGGTTTCGATTTCCAGCTACGGTGAAACATTGGACAAGTTTCCTTACTCCACATGCCTCTGTTTACCGAGCAGTAAGTAGGTAAACGGTTGTTAGTCAATTGGTGGATCACTTTTCCTGGGGATAATCCATTAAACTGTTTGTGGGACACTGCTGTGCACAATTGGCTGCTGCGTTTTGCCCACAAAATTATTATTTTCTTTTTCCATATGTTCTCATGATCTGGACTCAACATAAACTGATACTGCAGAAATCAACTAATCCCTTTGGGGTTCCGATATCTTGCCATGACTTGGGTCATACATATACAACCGATTGCTGCTCAATTTACCTTTCCATTTATCAATATATATTTTTAAATCTGCAGTTAGCAAGCCACTATATAAACAGATCACATTGCTCCTATTGTGATATGACATTTATAGAGGCTGCCAGAATATAACACAATTGTATCTTTACCATTCGGTTAAATATCAAATGCAAGGATTATTATTATTATGTGCAACAAATGGAATTCACTGTGTAACACAGTGAGTTCTACTTGTTGCACATAATAATAATCGTTGCATTTGATATAGCGCCTTATCATGTCTTCGAGACATTTCAAAGCACTTCACAGAATAGACTAAAGTGAATTGACTGTATATGTTGTGGGTACATACAGTATGACAGATTTTTTTTATTTTTAAAACTATATGTATACATGAGGTAATAACCTTAATGGACATTGACACAAAGAGAATTTTTTTTCCCTCTGGGAACAATTCTGTTATTCAGAGACAATTCGGGGGTAAAAAAGCTAAAAGTTAACTTACAAAAGCTGTACAACAACAACAACAACTTGCATTTATAAAGCGCCCTTCACACAGGATAGCATGCCAGAATGCTTGAACATAATCATGCAGGACTGTTGAATTGGATTAAACTCCATATATGTTTTTTGGTTGTTCAGGTATAAGAGACCTTGTGATACTTTGCATTTTGAACTTGTCAGTGCTGTATTTTTCTAATTTTAAGAGATGAGAAGCAGGTTACCAGCCCACGTGGCTTCTCGTTAATCTGCACATCTGTTTCTCTGCTCTGTTCCAATTCTTATGCTCCAAACAAATGTACTGGTCCTTTTTTCCAAACCGCTTTTTTGGGGGGCTTCAATATGCTTTTTATTAAGCCAGCTACCTCACATGTTCTGACAGCACTCTGCTTTTTGAACAAATATAATGAATGCACTGCAGCTCACTGACAACAGAAAGAATTTCTTGAATTTCTTGTTTTTTTTAAAAAGCCTCTTTTCAACATTAGGACAAGAGGTTTCATGAAGAATTTATCTCACAGATCTAGGATTTTTTTTGTGTGTTTGGTAAATTACGTCTAGCTTCTTTTTTTGCCTGGCAAATTTACCATGAAATTAAAGAAAGAAGCATGCATTGAATGGGTGTATTAACATTGTGACCTTTACTTCAATATATCACTGTCTGCTATGGCACACTTCCTCAGCACCTGCCACTTGTTGGCAACTCATATACCTAGATATTTTTCAATTGTGAACCTAGACAGGGAATGCTGCCAGGCTATATCACTGGGCGTAGGGCACACAAGTACGGATTGCAATCTCGGGATGCTGCTCCCGAAATCCCTGGATTGCAACCCATAATCACAGCTGCGTTCAATCCTGGCCTCACATGACACCCATATTTCCTCACATTTCAGCAGATGTCAGTGGATAGTATTTTATTAACAGCAGGAAACATCAAGGTGATTATGTGAACCACCTGTAAACTAACTAAACTTGATAGTTGAGCGTATCTTATTCTCCACTATTTGATAAAATTTCCAGCGCGGTGACACAATCTTATAATGGCAAGAATGCTGACAATTGGAGAACCACTTGAATGGCTGATTTTTCCTATTTCTCGGGTAAGGGGCACTGCAGACACTGCTGCTCTTCTAAGTGAGCATTTCAAATGAAGCCAATACAATTGATCTTTGTGGGTAATGCATCTAGGTATAAAATACACAGGCAAGCCACTTTGCAGCATATTTTTTTGAAGAGTTTTGAGACATCTCGATGGCATGAAAGATGCTATATAAAATGCTAGGACTATTTATTATTTTCAAATATAACACCACCAGATACATATTGTCAATAATAAGATACCACTCTCTCCTGACCAGGCCATGATTTTCAAAGCTACGCATAACTCCTTACCTGGGTAATTTATCCAGCAGTGTTTTTAACTCCTCACATACTAAGCTGACACATCCACTCTTGATATTGCTGTATGACACATCAATCATGAAGATGAAGGCAGGTGGGTTAGGAGGCTTGTTATTCTGTAAATAAAACAAGTACGTATAAACAGAAAATAATTTTATTTTAAATAGTGATCTGAAGACTGTATTGTTCAGATTACTATTCTTGGCCATTGACTCCAGGTTACATTCTCCATGTGAGTGGGGACAGCGAATGTCAGTAGATAAGCCTAACCCAATCCTGGAACACTAACTAATCACCTGGAATGGGATCCTGGTTGATATTTCACTTTTCCTAGACCAGGACAACTGAGGCTAACTCTAACTAGAGGGCATAAATATAAGAGAGTTTGTAGTAGATCTAAAAAAGAAGTTTAGGAGGAACTTCTTTATGCAGAGACTGATGTTTCTTAACATTTAACTCTTAACATTTCTGATGCCATTTTGTTTATATGCATGAGACATTACTGTGCACAAAACATCTTTCCTACTNAAAAAATCTTAGTCACTACATTTTAATATATATCCCGTGAAGCGCTTTGAGATATCCTGCTGACATGAATGGCTCTCTACTGAATCTAAGGATTATTTTATATTCTTATGTTATTATGATAGTTTTGCCCTCCATGGCCTCGCCCCACCCTACTTCTGCGATCTCCTAACCCCCTACCAACCCACCCGTTCCCTCCGCTCAGCCAGCTCCGGCCTGCTCCACGTCCCCCGACCCACCCCACCATTGGCGGGAGAGCCATCAGCCACTCTGCCCCCAACCTCTGGAATTCCATCCCCCGGTCACTCCACCTCGCCCCCTCCTTAGCTTCCTTCAAGTCCCACCTCAAAACCCTCCTCTTCGACCATGCCATCGGCCACCCCCTCCTTTCTCCCCCCCACTCCCCCGACTCCAGCTCGGGTCTGAAATGCTGTCCTCCCGACGTGAAAGGTGCTATACAAATGTAATCTTGTTGTTGTTATGTGATGATATCAAGACTAATACGTCTAAGCAATCGCTAGTTGTTGCAAGTGCCCTCTTGAAGTCCAGAGGCAATATGAAAGTGGCAGAGCTTGCAATGCGCCGCATTTCGAGTCTCCTGAGCCACAATGTAAAAACTGTGTCAGTAAAATGCTTTTGTTTATTTAATTGCATCACACACTTCATCCCAATTTATTTATGAGAAGTGTCCCTTTTCAGAGATTCTAATTTTAGCCTATTGTTTATACAACAGTGAAGAATCGTGCTTAAACAATTGGATAAAATTAGAACCACTAACAGTGCCTTATACAGAAACCCTGTAAAGGACTGTAGCAATGTTTTATGTGAAGCGCCAGGGAACAAAATCCAATGAAAGGAGTATTACGTTTCCATTTTAATAACTTTTTAAGCCATTAAAATATGTTTATGTTATGATTTGTTTGGGATTTCCAGGGGAAGAAAATACTTTTCTATTCTTGGAAATATACTCATATGTTTGAAATATACTTGGTACGAACTGCACAGTAACAGCGAAAACTACTTCAGGGCCAATAAAGCCTTCCTTGAAATATTTGGGAGGTAAAATCATACAACGTTTTTATCGCAGAAGGAGGCCCATCATGTCTGTAACAGCACAATCTGCCCCACTGGAACTGGCACTTGACAGTAATTGCTTGTGAAGCACTTTGACATGTTTCAATGTTATAGGGTACTATATAAATACAAGTTTTTTCAGCACCTTGGGACATCCTCCCGATGTGAAAGGCACGATACAAATGTAATCTTGTTGTCGTTGTTAACTGATGTTAGCTTCAAATTGAATGGTTGAACCAGAGGTGCATACTTTGGAGGCTGACAACTGTCTCTTGCAAGGGCGTGTGAAGGTCGGATATAAATGCAAGTTGTTGAGTACATTCTGTCCACAATCCCCATTTGCCTTGTGAGGAATGCCCACCTCTGGAGGCAATGTATCGATTGCCAGTGGTGTATTTAGCAAAACATACTTGGACTTGTAACTTCTATTGCCTCTTCTGTGCAACCAGACTTAGTGGTGTTCCATGCACACGGGAAAGTTTGATATCATTGTGTAATAAACATGATCACATCAAATGTTCATTATAAATAAATTACAATACTATTCATATTTACGTAGCACATTTCCCATCATGAGTAAGTCTCAAAGTACCAATGCTGGTCTGGGCACCCGAGCTGGGAGTGGGAGTCAAGGAAGGTGGGGAGCGGAAAGATGACTGAAAGAGTGGTCAAACAGCTATGTTTTGAGACATACCTTGAATGAGAGAAGGAAGGGAGCAAGTTGGAGGAACTCTGGGATGCAGTTCCAGAGAGAGAAGGCAGAGTGACTGAAAGCCTACCCACCAATGGTGGGGGCGGATAGGATGAGGGACATGAAACAGAACAGTGTTTGCTGAGCACAGGGAGCGGCTGGGTCAGTTGGACTGAAGGAGATCATAGAGATAGGGTGGGGACAGATTGTGGAGGAATTTCAATGTGAGAGTCTGGCAAGCAGAGCATTGGTGTAGTCAAGCTTAGATATGTGTCTTTGCAGCCCAAAGCAGAAGTAGTGGCAGAGGTAGACACTGTTTTAGAGGTAATGTAACTTGTGCGATTAGCCAGACCCAAATAATGGTAGTGGAGCTGTGGAAAATTGCCAGGGGCAAATTTACCTGATATTAAATGCTCTTCTCAGCCTCTGCTGTTGTTTTTTTGATAGCAGAGAATACAAAAATCAATTTCCAACAATAATAAACCTTGCATTTGAGATAGAGCCTTATCATACCATCAAAGCATCTTAAACCACTTCACAGGATTTATTGGAAAGTGCACTGGAGTTTCAATGTTGATGTTTTGCGTTTGCACGATATCTCACGTAATCGTGCCAATCATAATGTAAGGTAACAGCAGATAATTTTCCCATAAGCTTCTTCCGGAAATGAGACTAAAATTTCAAAGTGGTGGAGGCTGAAAATGCATTTGCATTATTATTATTATATTAACATCTCCAGTTTTGGCAACGCATTTCACAAATCTGGAGACAACATGTTCCTGGATAAAAATTTCCACTGTCTCAAGTTTGGTCTTCCCCATTTCCTCCCACACTGGGACTTTTCCTGGTTACTAAATAATATGTACTGTTTTATAGTGATTACTATAACACCTCCATTTGGAACTATTTATTGTTGTAAGAAATGTAAACAAGAGTTATTAAATAAAGATTTTTTCCCCCGTTGATTTTCCTTTCTAGGATACAGTGCATGGATGCCAGAAGTTTCATGCAGCCAATTTTTCTCTGAGCTTGTACAATTAAGTGTTGGCAGACCATTCGACCATGAGAGGAATCATAGCCAAGTTGTGACCACCTTATGCACTTACAGTAAGTGTCACTGGATAAAGATCTGGAGCAACAAGTTTGGATAATTCCCCACCTCCTCCAGCTCGGCTCCCCCAATGGAATGTTACAGGCCTGCTGACACTGGCTTCTCATGCAATATTTAATGACTAGAAAGAGTAGAGGGCTAAAATATGACATTTGCAACTGAATTTAAAAACACTTTTTACAAATATCAAATCCTGTTGGTAACCAAATGTGCATCGCCCCAATCGGTAAGTAACAGCTGTAACATGCCCAGGAGCAGAGTTCCTGTTGAACAACAGAAATCACACCCAATCACCTATTGGATTTGATATGTGGAAACTCTTCCTTCAAATGCTAGAGTCTTGACTCCGAGTGCCACAAGGATCAGTGATTGGGCCTCAGCTATTTACAATTTACATCAATGATCTAGACGAGGACATTGAATGTAACATATCTAAATTCGCGGACGACACTAATCTAGGTGGGAGAGTAAACTCTGAGGATGATGCAATAGACCGGCAGGGGAGTGGGCGAGTAGGTGGCGGATGGAATTTAATGTGGGGAAGTGTGAAGTTATTCACCTAGGTAGCAAAAACAGAAAAACAGATTATTTTCTTGAGGGGGAGAGATTAGTGTTAGTGTTCAGAGGGATTTGGGTGTCCTTGTACACCAGTCTGAAAAAGCTAGTTTGCAGGTGCAGCAAGCAACTAAGAAGGCGAACATTGCAAAAGGTTAGCGTTCATTGCAAAAGGTTTGGAGTATAAGAGTAGGGAAGTCTTGCTGCAACTGTATAGGGCCTTGGTGAGACCGCACCTAGAGTATTGTGTGCAGTTTTGGTCTCCTTATTTAAAAAAGGACATACTTGCCCTAAAGGGGGTGCAGCGTAGATTGAGTTGAGGAAACATTTCTTCACTCAGAGGATAGTGAATTTATGGAGTTCACTACCCCAGAAGGCTGTAGTTGCTCAGTCCTTGAACATCTTCAAGGCTGAGATTGACAGATTTTTAAAAAAAGAGGAATTAGGGGATATGGCAGGTAATTAGAGTTAGTTCTGAAGATCAGCCATGATCTTATCAAATGCCGGGGCAGGCTCGAGGAGCCGAATGCTGCTAATTCTTATGTTCTTATGACACCCAGGTTCCTGACTGGCTTAGTGAACTTGAGTGTGCAGCCGTGGAGGCTGATGCTGCCACCGCCTGAGGTGCGGAGGCACTGGCACGAGCAAATCAGGAGGGCCTCGGTCTTGCTGACGTTGAGTTCAAGAAAGTTGTCCCTCGTCCAGGCCTTGATGTTGGACAGGCAGTCGGTCAGGACGCCAGTAGACCTGGAGTTGAGGGTGGAGGCAGAGAGATAGAATTGGGTGTCATTTGCATACATGTGGAAATTTACCCCATGTCTGTGGGTGATGTCACCAAGGGGGAGCATGTAGAGGATGAAGAGGAGGGGACCGAGGACAGAGCCCTAAGGAACACCGCACAAGACGGTGCGGGGTTTGGAGGAGAAGCTGTTTGCAGAGACGATGTGGAGGCAGTGTGAAAGGTAGGACCTGAACCAGTCAAAGACATAACTTTGAAGATTGAAGTGGGAAGAGAGGCGGTGGAGAAGGACTGAGTGGTCCACAGCATCAAAGGCGGCGGAGAGGTCAAGGAGGACAAGGAGGCAGAAGGAGCCCTGGTCACACATGGTCAGGATACCATTTGTGACCTTGACCAGAGCAATTGGAGGGGCTCATGGAGT